GTTTGTTTTTTGTTGTTTTTTTGGGGGGAGCAGGTTTGTTTTTAACCGAGGAGAGAACAGGGTGAAGAGATACTTTTAGTTTTGTTGTTGTTTTTCTCGACAGTTCTGGATTTTACAGTAGACGGACGCGTCGTTGTGTTTCGGCCTTTCACGTTTTTGGCATAGAGAAAAGGAAGGCAAAAAGCTTCTTGTTTTTTTTTTGTTTTTTGTTTTATTGTTTTGTGAGTGTATGCGTGTGTGGGAGGGGGGGGGCTAGTTTGTTTTTGAGTATGTCTTTTTTTCATTTGTTTCTTTTTCTTTTTTTATTGGTGTTGTTGTTGGGTTGTTGGTTGTTTTGTTTGTTTATTTTTTTGCCTTAGTATGTATGTATGTTTGTGCTGTTGTTTTTGTTTTGTTTTGTTTCGTCTGTATTACTGTAAGTAAAGGTTTTACAGATCTGGCAGCAAAAGTAGGCCATATCAGTGTCGATGATTAGACGTGCTTCTAGAGAGTAACATACAACAAAGAGAAGGGGGACAGATAATGACGATGAATATATATTAGGAAAGAAGGAGTAAACCATACCAGAGCGCCTGCCAACCACTCACATGATGGTTTTCAGCACTACAGGATATGTTATAGAAGGCAGTTAAATAGTGTTAGATGTTAAAGGTTTAGAAGGGTGACTGATTTAAAGAAAGCTATAAAAACACTTACATTTTGGAATATACCAATAGTTTTGATCTGTTGACGAAAAGACAGAAAAACATACGTGTTAAAACAAAGAATAATGTTGTATACTCAGAAGAAAATTCCGATTTATTATGGACTCTAAGGACCAAATAAAACTATCTATGCTGTCAGATATAGCGACAGAAGTTTTGCTGAGCAGCGAAGAACCATTGGAAAATAATAAAACACACACACATTATCAGAAGAACACATTGAAAAGGGCACAGAAGCCGAGAGACACAAAAATGACACAATATTATAACACAGTAACAAAAAATACTGGCTCAGAATCAGAAAGACGAAAATAAAATGAAACAAAGAGAGAAAACAGAATTTAAAAATCCAAAATGCAATGACACTGAGGATATGACACAACAAACTGACACAGAATCATACAAAGCTACAGACAAAACCAGACAAAAAGACAAGAGAACAAGAAAACAGAACAATGTCAGAGACAGATACACATTATTTCTCTGACACAATTGAAGAGTGAAGAGGAAAAAACTGGTGACGTCTAAACCATACTCTTTTTCTTCAAATCCCCAATGTGCAACAACGCAGTGATGATATAAAGAAGATGAAAAAATTGTCTCAAACAATTACTAAATGAAAGTTTCATCCGTTTCAAACGCTTTAAAAAACTCTACACCAGAAAGAAACAGGAAGTCTCTACACCTAATTTTTCAGTTTTAGAAGGAAAGGGTGACTTTCCCAGATTGTCCGCTCCAGTCTTCATATAAATGAGAGAGCCTAAACACAACAGCAGACCAATCACTTTCAAGCTATCAATCGATAGACAGACATTCAGACATACAAAGACCAGGTTATGTGGTGTAGTTCTTAGGTGCTTCCTTGTGGCACGCACGAGACCAGAATTCAATACCCGAGTGGGAATATTTTTTATCTTTTGTTTTTATTTTTTTATTTTTTTATATTTTTTTTTTTTGGGGGGGGGGGGTTTAAATCGAGTATTTAGGTCTTTCTGCTAGGACGGTGTATCCCTCTCAGCCCGTGTTGGCAAGGACAGGCACGACCGGAAGTTCTGCTTCTTGTATGATCTAATTTGTGTCAAGTTGAGCACAAAATCAACTACATTGATATTGATACACACAAAATACATAACAAACAATGGAATGCAATCCAATAAATAGTAGAAAAGCAGGTGGCAAAAACACACACAGGGAGACCGCACTCATAACCGAAAAACTGGAAAAGCCTGAGAGAATAGGAATGGGAGGATCCTATACAGATGAAAGTCAGGCCAACATTCTTTCGCTATAAAGGGTGACATACTGAAAACCTGAGCGTAGCTGAAAGTTTCGGTTGATGTGAACTTTCAAGAACGTTGTCCCTTTCTTTCTATAACCAAATAGATAATATTGTATAATAAAAATATTAGTAGTAGTATAATAATAATAATTATACATAATAATAACAATAATAATAATAATAATAATAACAATAATAATAATA